ACGTTATTTTGTTTGATTCTCGGCTTTGTACCGTAACAACAAAATGTATTTCTTTAATTAACTCGTAGAATGGTCACCACATGAACAATTCATTAAAGTCGGATAGTTCTAAATATCGTCATTAGCTATTTTTTGATGATGTTCGTATTGTTTAAGTTTTACAATAAAAACGCTTATAGTTCCTGATATGTGATAAAAAAACATTGCCAGAAAACATAATTCCCAAGGACTTTATTTATGTAGCATAATTATCGTATTTTTCTATTATTTTGGCATTATGTCATTTCCTTTTAAAATGATCAATAATTCGTTTCCTTTTCTTTGACATTCGATTAGTTTAACGTCATGTTATTTCCTTGAAATTTAAGTGATCATCAAGATGGTTGTAGTCTAGTACAACATTGTGATATTTACTTTACGTTTGATCAGTCCAATGTTACGTCATTTTCTTGACATTTGATCAATCATCTAGGGCACAGTAGGCCTGTTCAATATTATGATATCCGCTTTAGATTTGATTGATCTGAATCTACTGTATTCAACATATATTTGAAATTCTATATATATATATATATAACACTACACAATAACATAAAGTGGATCTAACAATGATCTCTGGTGATCTAATGCCTTATTTGATCCAAACAAAGAAACTTTAACTTTGTGTTAAACAGCATTCTATAATCTTTTATGTGTCTCGGTGGGACAGCGGTAAGTTTACGGACTTTCAATGCTGAAATCTGGGGTTCGATTCCACGCTGTAAACACTGTGACATTGTTCTTGAACAAACGATATAACTTTTTAAAGTTATATTTACAATATTTAAAAACTAGCCGCAACCCGCTTCAATTTTCCTTGTTCTATCATTTTCACGCACGGCATTTAAGCTACGTTTTCTTGCAGGCATTATGTGTTAGATCGATAAATCCAGATCTATTTGCAAAACTAATTTACGCGGTCAGACAAAACTCACGTAGACGTAACTTTATTTAATAAAACTGCACTTAAAGTTAACAATAAAGTATAGTAATATACTTACAATAGTGTACAGAGTATGAAACAGTTATGAGCGCTCAGTGTATGGCACGGTTTTACGAGTTGAAACAAAAAACTCACAAAAACGACGAATAAAACTCGTAGTAAAGAAACAAGTAGTTAAAAGGTGTTTATAGCAGTCTATGAAAGGAAACGAAGCTAAATTATTGCAAAGTAAAGTTGTAATGAAGGCAGACTTAGCTGATGATGAAGAAACATCTGAATGCGTGTTCACAAAGTGATAAACATATGTTTTTGAACGAACTGCGCATGCGTATTGTAGACCTAAATAAGTCGAAAAAGCCCACAGAAATTGTATTTAATGTAATGTTAATTGTTTTGAAAATTACTTGCGTGTTAAATGTTATTTGTGTGACATTGTGCCATCGTGGAGCATACACGTTGCATTAAAAGGTTTGACTAAGTAAAAAAACAGGTAAGGTGAGTCTGAATGGAAAATCCAATATACAATCCGAACTACTCGGAAATAAGGCCTTTCTAACGATATGAGATCTGTAGCGTTTTGATCGAGAAATTTGTGTGTAAAGTTCCGAACAGACAAATGTTATTTACACAGATAACCATCGCTGGCGTCTCATCATAATAAAATAAAAATACATTTTAAAGATATCAGTAATGGAGTTTATCCACTTTTATAGACGGTTTATAACGAAAAATATATTGTTGGTTTCATTTATAATTTTGAAAAAGCTCAATAGCTTTTCGTCAAATTAAGTTCACTGTAATGTTATTCTTCACATTATAGCCAATGGTGTTAGTTTTCTGGTTTTATACAGAGGAATAATTAAACTTTAATTCAATAATTTGTTAATGCAAATACAATACCACCAAATGCGAACCGTGACTACACTTGCAACATGTCCCCCCCCCCCTCAGTGGTACAGCAGTATGTCTGCGGACTTATACCGTTAGAAACCGGGTTTCAATACCCGTGGTGGCAGAGCACAGATAGCCCTTTGTATAGCTTTGTGCTTAATAATAAACAACAAAAAGTTCTGAATATGTTGTTCACGGTGAATTCCTGACCATTCAACATCATAATGCTGCCATGGATAGAATCATGACTAGATAAATATGTCACAGCAATTCGCAACTGGGAATATTCATACAGCAAGATCTATGGTTAAGAAAAAGAGCCCTCAGACTCAAAAATCCATTGCGATGGAACTAGGCCTATCTCCTGTTACCGCTAATAGTATAACAAAAAAAAAAAGACTCGTAGTTGACAAAAGTTTAAAGTTATAACATTCTCAGCACGTCACGAAGTCCACGTTTTGTTGTTTGTTTGTTTTTCAGGAGAAACATAGTCATAGAAACTTGAATCACAGTAATTTCATTTGACCTGTTATGTCTTTGGTCTGCCTTGAAAGACGATGTACACCTACCATTCAGGGTCTGTAGGAAATTATTTAGGATTTGTGGTCTAAATTTTACCTCGACATCTTTTGCAGAAGATCGTTATAATGGAAAGTTTGTAGTCAGACAATCGTGCATAAACTTAGTCACCATATCGAGCTGGAGAGGTAGTACTAAGGGCAGCATGAGATCCAGAATATTGGTTTGATACAGCATGAGATCTGGAATATTGGTCTGATAAAGTACGATTAATGCTAGAACTTTCCCACACCAAACTTCTTTAACTTTTATTCCGTAATCTGATTGTTTTATTAAACTTATGGTTGTTTTCAGAAATAAACTACTTATTTCTAATCCGTGTATTTTAAAGATTCTCAAAACTAATGAATTCTTAGATACAATTACATAAAAAACAGGTTCACGATGGAATATCTTTTGAAAGATTAATTTTTTTGTAAGTCTTGCCATTTCTCACGATGAAGAAAGCCGTTATCTTTCGAAATGTTTGAAACAGTTTGATCTTTTTTTCTTGTTAAAATTTGTATGATTACTTTTATAAACCAGTGTTGTTAATAAATAACTTTATTACTCATGAAATTGCTTGGTTATTCAAAGTTTTTAATGTGTTACGTTGAAATAACATTCAGCAAGAAAATTATTATTGGTAGATGAGGGGAATACACATAAATTTTGACGAAATGGTTTTCTGAATTGAAGGCCATGTTTCCAAAAATATATACGATCATTCAGTTATCCATAATTATATCATTATTAGTGTTATAGGTAAGAATGTTAGAATCTAATCATCCACTAGAAAAAGCTGGAAACGTAAAAATACAGGCCGTTTATAATCTATTGTCTTTTTCGCTTTTCTTTTAACATTTTTTGGGGTTTTGAACTAATTTAATCACCGCGTTTTAACTTACTTATGCTAATGGGATGAAATAATTTCGAGAACGTGATCTTCAAAAGAGGTTTTGAGATCAATTCCTGAGTGCCACTTTATATATATATATAATAATGTACTTCAGTTATATCCGGGAAATAATATTTCACGGAAGTAGAACTTTTTCGGCACAAGTGTCTGGCGTCTGATTATCAACAGTTCTGTGCTAACAATCAGTAGACCAGTTGGTTTCGGCCGCCATTACGAAAACCAGACTTTGTTAACCTTCTCAAAAAGTTGAAAAATGTTTGATATTTTGTTGAATTCAGTATGTTGAAATCTATCTAGCTTATTAAGTCACAACTCTACTAATTTTAGCATTGTAAGCTCGGACCTCTGATATCATTATAAAAAAAATGGTGTTCTCATTCATTTTAAATCGAATAAAAAAAAAAAAAATAGTAGTCTTCGTGTGTCAAAGAAAATAACTCCCAAACTTTTTCTTCTTCCTTTGCATTCATCCCGAGAAAGGTAGTCTAAGAGAATAATTAATTATTGATAGTATTTAAATGGTTA